CCAATACAAGTACAAGGAGAAGAGCTCAAGGCAGACTTATTCGCGCTAGAACTCGAAGGACCGGATGTGGTACTGGGGGTCCAATGGTTGGAAACGCTAGGGCCCGTAACTACAAATTTTAAGAAAGGCACAATGGAGTTCGAACGGGCCAAGAAAAGGATCAAGCTATACACTAGTGAAGAAGGAACTGAGCCGGTCGAATTGAAGAGTCTTCAATTCATTCTCCTTGAGGACAAGGTCAAACTCAAAGGGGGATGGAATGATGAGGATGTGGTCATCGACCCATCCGAGCCCGAGGACGAGACGCGCGGAGGCCATTGGAAGAAGCGCGCGAGGGCCCAGGACAACCACCGACCACACTAAGAGGGCACGGAGAGGCTACGCGACGGGTGATACACACACGGTTATGCATTGGGCCGACGATGAGAGCGAGAGGATCGTGTCGGGAAAAGTAGGCGAATGGTGTAGGGCTTGCGCGAGAGACCGGCGCAAGCAACGCATGTACGCTAAGACCGAAGTCGCACGAGGGGCGGATGAAGGGTGGACAGTGTGCACGTGGGGCGGATGCGATGGCGCGGACCCGCTAAGGGAGTGGGTAGACAGAATCGATAAGGCGAGCGAGCGCGAAGGCGGCGCTAAGCAGGCAGGTGTGCGGGCACTCGCTGGCTGGGGGACGCGCGAAGGAATGGGCGCGCGCGTGGCGCGAGGGGGCTCACGCGAGGGGCGGGCGGTAACGCGCGATGCACGCGGGAGTTGGTTGGCGCGAGTCCTCGATGGACTAGGCGTAGCCCGCCGACTGAAGGGAATCCGCGCGACTTGAGGCGCAAGGCAGTAGATGCGTGGGACGCGTGGGGCGACCAATCCGAGACCTTGCGGGACAAGGACTAGCGCACGATGGTTAGGGTTCGGGTGAAGTGCCGCGCAAGACAAAAACTCGAGATCCTTCTAGATGGCAAAGGGCCGATTTTCCCTAGTAACTTAGGACTCATAGTTTGGTTAGGATATGGAATAAAAGGCATGTGCCTATTAGTATTTTATTAATTAGGTAAGTCTTTATTTGCTAGATCTTTAGTTTCCTTAGGACTTTATTTTCTTGCTTGCATTAGGAGTTCTTTTTAGACTAGGATTAGATCTATTTGGTATCTAGAAATACCACCCAATGTCATTCGAAAATTATGATTGAGAAGTAATAAAAAATCGTTCGTAAGAACAAAACCGTGTGTTTAGAATTCATGAGAGTTTTATCATGCAAATTGAGTAAGGCAAGGCTAAGATCCGAACCTACTCAAAATCGTGAGAAGATAAGGCTAATAACCGAATCCTCCACACCTATCGTCGAAGGGCAAGCCGTGGCAAAGCTTGTTTGAGACAAGCGAGTTGGGAAAACACACGATCCTTCATCATTGGTGCTTTCATTGAGAGGTGTTGATCGTGTGTTTTGTTTAACTTTTTCTATCTTCTTCTTTTTTCAATTTTCCCTTTTTCTTTTTCGTGAGGGTCGAGTGTTATAAAAAAAAAAATTACATATATAGTGTGTGTGCGTGAGTTTGGGTCGAGTGTTAAAAAAAAAAAAAAAAAGAGAGAGAGTCATGACAAACCGAGAGAGGTTCGAGATGTTGGAGGAAAGCATGAGGTCCCTCGGTGATGGACAACACGCGGCCAACAAGAATTTTGCGAAGTTGGAGCTCATGGTGCACGACCTTGCTGCACAACTTGCCCGAGCCACACGACGACTGCGAGGGAGTAAAAGGTCGTGTTCGACCACGGCTCGATCGAGTAGCTCCGAGTCTGACCGTCGATCGAGAAGGACACGAGCTTCTAGTCGACGCGAGGAGAGGAAGGTCGAGAAGTCGAGGCTTACTATGCCTACGTTCACGGGAACCGACCCGGACGCATGGTTAAGCCGAGAGCCACGCAATATTTCGAGATCAATGACGTGCCCAAATCTGAACAAGTCAAGATCGCTGCATACTATCTCGATGGTGAGGCGAACATATGATGGCAATGGATCTCGCACGTCTACCAAGACAAAGGCGTGAGAGTACATTGAAGGGATTTCGAGAAGGAGATCATTACGCGATTTGGTTCGAGCCAATACCACGACTATGACGAGGCACTCACTCGTATACGCTAAAGTGGTAGTCTCCGAGATTACCGAAAAGAGTTCGAGCGCCTAACCAGCCGCGTGCGCAATTGGCCCGAGAGCGCATTGCACTACAAGAAATTACACATATTATGACGAAAATTCATGTGACAAAAATAAAATCGTCACAATTGGCTATGTTATGGTGACGAATTATTAAAATCGTCACTAAATCATTGCATACAACGACGACTACTACATTCGTCATCTTAGAATTTGGTTTTCGTCACATAATCATAAATTTCATGACAAAACATTTTAATCCGTCGCCTCTACATCTAAATTCGTCACGTTTATATAAAAAGTGACGAAATTACATGTGACAAATTAAATGTCGTCGTTTTTTTTTATGATTTACTATGACGTTTAGGACTAATTCGTCATTATATAATTTTGTATGGTGACGACATATTACAATACATATAAATTCGTCATAGTAATACATATCATGACGAAATTCAATGCGACACAATAAAGGTCGTCGTTTATTTTTGGTATTTACAATGACGATTACGACTAATTCATCATTGTATAATTTTATATTGTGACGACATATTACAACACATATAGATTCGTCACAGTAATACATACCATGACGAAATTCAATGCGACAAGTTAAATGTCGTCGTTTTATTTGGTAATTACGATGACGCTTACGACTAATTCGTCATTATATAATTCTGTATTGTGACGATATATTATACTACATCTAAACTCGTCACAGTAATATATTTTATTACAAAATTTAATTCGACAAAATAAATGTCGTCGTTTTTTTTTTTTTTTTT